AGCCCGAGCATATTTGGGTAATCCGGACGAGGGTTCAAGGATAATCGCAACAATATGTGTGCTACCATACGTTTTAAAAGAAATACATCACAAATAAGGGCACACAATCACGGTATACACTTTGACTACTTGTATGTACGTTGAATCAAAGAACGTAAATGTATAAGAAGCGACAACTCGTTACTTTGAAAATGTGCCGCGTCGATTTTGACCGTATCTGAAAGGTTGAGATGAGGAGTTCGTCTCCCTTTTGACTCTGTCCGCGGCAGATTTTTGATTTTCGCCTCGAATGCGGAAAATGTCAGCAAAACAGAAGAAAAGCGGCAAATGCGAACTTCTTTGATTATTTTGCACAAGTTGTTGAAAAGTGTATTTTAATTTAGGAAATAAATAAATGAAGGTGTAAAATATATAGTATTCAGTGAATGTGTAAAATACTGAAGTGCGTGTATGTGAAAGCTTCCATATTAATAATAAAAGTGTTTGTAAGTGCAAAGTGTTCGTCAACAAGTGCCGATTGATGGCGTCTGTGGGTAAAAAGTGATCATTATTTTAAACAAAACCAGTGTACTTTTATATAAAAATGCATTAGTTTAATAAGAAATCTATGCATTTATATATGAGTGTACTTATGTTTTGTTTTCATCTGGAAATTTACATATTTAAAGTGCAAAAAATGGTGTGTTGGGAGATTTGAAGGATAGTGTATATACGGCGGCTTTATTACAAAACCAATGTTTATTATATACAGATGGCATAAGTTTAATTTAAATCTATGCATTTATACATGAGTATGCATACATTTTGTTATTATCGGGCAAGAATAAATGTTTTCCAATTTTTTGTTCATATGTATGCAAAAAATAAACGCATAAATGTGAAACATAAGTTGTCTTCGTCTTTCTCACATCCTCCGCCAAAACAAACGCGTAAATGTGAAACATAAGTTGTCTCCATCTCTCCCACGTCCTCCGCCATCTTCATCATGACAAATTCTTAAATTCCTGCAAAATGCCGCGTTCTGACATATTTACGCGCATACATATGTACGTTTACAGTAGGCTACTCCTAACTTGAATTCTTGTAGCTCTAATCTGCTTGTTACCGGATATTTTGTAACCAGCAAATTTTGTTGCCAAACATTGTTACCACTTCTTGTAACCGCAATTATAGGTACCGTGGTAACGTTTTAATTTATTCAGCATTCCAGGTATGAAGTTTTGTAGAAATTCTGTTGTTGCATATTTCATGGGGCAATATTTTGTTACCTGCTTATGAGATGGTAACAAATTTTACTGGTTACAAAAGTGCGCAGAATGCGAAAAGGGTTTAAACAAAGAGAGGAGCTTTATTATGCGCTAGAAAAATCTGATTACTAACGCAGAATAGGTTAATGTACGATTTTGTGTTTGAATCTTTTCGTGATAGTAAACAATATTTGTGTTACCAACGCAGAATAGGTCTGTATGTATACACTCACTTATACATGCTTCATAGCTTCGCAATTATCAATAATGGAAAATAATTAAATTTTTGTTAATTCTTTTACATGTTGCTCGTAGTATCTAGAGTCAACTGTAAACAAATCGTAAGCGATCGGTTTACAAAAATTTTAAAATTGATGGCCGAAGTTGGTGAAGGCAACCATGTTGCCAAGTTACATTTGTTGTAAAACCACTTATGTATGTGATTTTAGAAGTTTTGAGTTTACATCAAAATATCATGGGCCATTTGTGCAAAAAATGTATGTTTATTTTGTTTTTTATTAAAATAAAATCTTAAGCAACTAATTAATAGTTTAAAAGTCAGAAGGAGCACTGTATTTAGAAATTTAGAGAAATAATGGCTAAGCTCGAGATAAGTTATTTTTGCAAATGTCCTCGGATTTTACAGCGGAGTTGCAACTTTTCATTTGACTGGCTGTGATTTCTTCAATCTTACATTTTAGAAATTTTGTGGCCCTCGCGCAGAAGTTGCGCTTGTGGGCGATGAGTTTGCGGGTAGAAGTATGGTCATTGAATTTATGAATGAATGAGTTTGACCTTGAAGAATATGCGCATGCGTTTATGAATGAATTTGTTATTGTTGTATTTTAGTGGCATGCGTATATGTACATATGTACGTATGTACGAACGTATATTTGCATGGATGTAGAAACATACATATGTAGAAGGAAAATCGCAAGAGTATATTTGTACAAATTGATGTAAATTATTTATTGATTTTAAATGTACATTTGGTTGATATAAAAAGGGTAATTTAATGCATAAATTATAACTTTACAACTAGGTACCATACTAAAGAGGAAGTTTATAAAGGTCTTGCATAGCGCATGTATTTAATTTACTTATATTTGTTTAAAATTATAAAATAAAGTAAATCTATGCACATGCGCATGCAAATTGTTAAATGCCGTCAGCAAATAAACAAAAAGAGCTGCGGCCATGTTTTTTTTCATTTCATTTTATTATTTCTATCATCGGTCACTTTTTCTTAACGTTCTTTATCGCCGCGAAACCATATGTGCGGCGAATTCATTTACGAAAATGGATGTTAAAACGGACGCGAACTCCTCATCTCAACCTTTCAGACCTCACTCGCCGACTTGAACGAGTTGTCGCTTCTTATACATTTACGTTCTTTGGTTGAATGCATATATTAAAACTCCTCTATTTTTAAAGAGCTTTTTTTTTATAAAAGTCGATGCTTCGATCAATAATGAAAATTTTCGCCCGCGGCGCTTTTTTTTTTTTATAAAAATAAATACTTCGATAAATAATGAAATTTGTAATAAAAAATCGCGTGTGGCAGCATCGACATTTCAGTTCAATTGGTCTACAGTTTACAAATCAAAAAGTGAGGTTGAATTCCATGAACCAAAAATACAAGATCACGTAAGAACGCGACGTTGTATTTGTAACTGGTTTTGAGAAAAAAGTTTGCGAAAGCGGGTTCGTCAGCTGAGCGTTTGTTTACATCACAAGCACCACTATTTTACACTTTTATTCAAGTAAAGAAGAGTTAATTCAACATGACAACACATTTTAAAGCATTTTGATACATCATTTTACCTAAATTGTGCGTTTAAAGTGGCTGACAATAATTTTGGCTAATTTTGGTTTTCGTTGTTTTCTTTGCTCTGTTTACTTTTCGCTCGTTTTCCAGTGAAAAAAGATGGCGTAGAACCCGCTAAAAAAAATAGACTTTTTTCACTCTCTTGTTCTTACGTGATCTTGTGTCTTCCGTTCATGGTTGAATTCGACATTTTTTGCAATTTTAAATGCAAATTACTTAAACAGCCCGATTCTAAATAAAAACTCCCTAGTAATTTTTCCTCATTTCTCTTTCCTCCTATCATGAATAATAATTCCCTGAGGATTTTTCCTCTTTTCCCTATTCTCCTATTCTAAACTATCTTCGAAAAAGGGAAAATGTATTTCGGGAAAAAAGTAGGTATTACGAATGTCAAAAAGGAGGGCTATTACAAGAAAACGCGCGATCTAAATTAAAATCTTTCAACTTACCCGTGTAGTTAAAAAATTGATCTTTAATTTAAAACACAGACTTGAAATTTCCGCGCACTAATTTATTAACAACTTTAATCTGAAAACTCTTTTATGTGAAACACACTTTTATGTGTAAAACACGCAAATTAAATGGCGGGAGTTGAGCTGTCAAAATAACTGTCAAACAGCTCTCCGAAAGTTCGAATTTCCTGCTCCCAAATTTTCGGGGAAAATGCTGCTCCCTGGCAATTTTTTCTTCGTTATGCTAAATTTTTTGATTAAAATAGTCAAAAAGGATAATTTTCCTCAAAACCTATAGTCAGAAGAGTTATCATTTCGATCCATTTTTCAATTTTATTTTGGGAGGATTGTCATCCAGATCCCATATAAAGTTCCAGGAAATGTTGTCATATAATCCATTTGCCGTTCGGAGGCGACCTAGAACTTCATTCGCGTGACAAGATCACCATGCACATTTTATTATAGGAGTATACATATATGTTAAAAGCCTGAAAGAATGTGTAGGTAATAGTTTTGAAATTAAGCAACTGTTAGAGCGCGGTTACCCACGAACGTATACGTAGCGTAGCGTAGAAGTACCTAGAAAGATATAAAGTGTGCTGTTGATAGAAAGAGAGGGAATCAACGTCTACGTCACGGTCATGCGGTGGGAGCATAAGATAGATCGTGTCAGCTGACACGTTCTCCGTTTTTGCGTCCGTGGGTAACTGTGCTTTTAGACTATAAAATCTTTACTTTTGACGATAAAACGAGCCTTAGATTGCCTTTACTTACTTTCTTGCTACTTTTTATTTCTATAACCCATTTACCAAGCTTGATAAGAAAAGCTTTTATTCAAACAAATATAACACCAAGCATTTTTCGTTTTATTAAAGTTCGTTAAATAAGTTGCTTAAGTTTAACGGGATTAAGCACATTTTTTGAACAATTTTGGTAAATTATATTCAACGGCCGCGGCAACACTGCTGTGCAGTACAGTACGAAATAAAAAAAAATCGTTGAATTGCGGCAACAGCTGGTAGAGTTTGTTTGGCAGCCATCGGAAGCAGTCGCATAAGTGTAAAAGAGAAATAAAAAAGTGTCAGCAAAGCGAAAATTTACGGTAATCGCTTTTTTCCAACGAGTTTTGTAGTGCACAATCAATTAATTAAGTGCATAATATTCTGCAACAACAATTGCGTGAAGAGAAAGTAAATTTTGTCGTATTGTGTTTGCCAATAAGACGGCAGAAAAATTTCAGGGCTCCGCTGAGTTCATACATGTGTATACACATACGCACAAACATACATATTCATATAACACTAATAATGTAAACATCAAAACATTTGCCAGTGAAAGATATGCATACATTTCTATGAAATTTGCAAATGCAAAGTATTCAATTAATATTAATAGCTTGAAACATTTTGCAAATTTAAAACTATGCGGCTAATATTTGAACATATCTATTTACAATGTATGTACCTAAACTTTTTGTTAGTTGTGTGTGTGTGTGCGTGTGTATATGTTTCAGTTGTGTGCAAAATCAATGCTCCGCTGTGGCAAAGGATGTTTCTTATCTACATGGCGTTGTTTCCGTTTCTGGTAGAACAGATTTAGCAAATCTAAAAAGGGCAAAGAAAGAAAAAATAACCCAATTGTTTTAATTAGGTTTTCTGTGAATACATACTATACATACATATAATATTTGGAAAAATTGGTTCAATAACTACAGTTTTCGCATAGTGCTCTTAAGAAACTGATATAAACTTTGTTCTACGTACTGACAAATTAATTTCATTTCTGATCGTCAGGTTAATGGTCAAATGGCTGACACTGTTCTTGCAGGGTATTGTAATCTAATACCCATTTATGTATGTATGTACATACATGATAATATATGTATTTACCTACATACTTTATCAATGAGAACGCTAGTCTAAGCAAATGACCTTACCACACATGTTAGTTAAGTCTGTTGCTGATAAAAACATGCAGTATTGTGCAAAATAAAAGCAGCAAACTTCCTAAACTATATATGTACATACACTAGGGATGTCAATCCCGGGATCCCGGGAGGTCGGGATCCCGGGATCCCGGTCTTTTTTAAGTCCCGAATATCCCGGGATTAGTCGATTTAAATCCCGGGATTGCTGGAAACAATTTTTTTGTTAGCCAATTAAATTTGTATCACAAATATCCCCTCTCAGAGCAAATTAAGAATTTTTTGCAACCCTTAATGCTATAATTTCTTTAAGATCGCATTACCATCAAAAGAAGGAATAATTTTGCTCCGCTCGAAATGGAATAGGTGATGCACTTATATATTTATTGTTTACTTAAATGTGTTAACTTTTTTATTATTACTTAAATATACTGATAATATCTTAAGTTGATCTCAAACCGTGATTAAAAAAATTTTATATAGTTACATAGGCAGTTACTGCTGTACCAAATAAGTCACTTACAAAAATATTTTGCATCGATTTTTTTTGCAATATCCAAAATATTTTTCATGGTATTTTTTTGTTAATTAAAAAAAAATATATAGCTCATTTTTCAACAAAAATCATGTAAATCAAAATTTCACACTTTAGAGAAAGTTGGTTTAAGTTCACCAAATTATCATAAAAATATCAAACTTTGTAATCATAATTTTTACAAAAAAATCCATTATGTAGTTTTATAGCCCATTCAATTTAATAGAATAAAGTGCACTTTTAATGTTACTAAAAACTCCCTTGATTTTTGAATTGTTTTTACTGATGTTGGGCATTTTCTTCCTTATAACGAATTTTTTGTAGCAAAAAAAAAAAATATAAAATGTCGACGGGATGTTTTCGCAACTTCAAAATTGCACATACATATATATATATATATATATATTTTTAAATGAACAAAAAAAATACCATGAAAAATATTCTGAGTATTGCAAAAAAAATCTATGCAAAATATTTCTGTGAGTGACCGTATATGCATTTGACCTTGTAGTACAAAAACTATGTTATAAATTAATGAGGATGTGTACATTAGAGGTATACGCCGCCGAGCCACGCCGCCGCCGCCGCCGTTTTTTGTCATTCCTCACGCGCTGCCGCCGAGTTACGAAAATATCGGCGCGGCGGCGGCGGCGGCGGCGTTCGGCGCCTAAGGAATTTTGTACAAAATTTTCATGATGTATGTACATTGAATACATCGTTTGAAGGAACTAAATATTGTATAAAAACACAATTTTACGAAATGAAAATTACATTTTTAAATTAGTTTTTTTGCATAATTTGGGCCACTGGACAAGAGTATGATCTCCTTTATTTTTTTCCAAAAATAGCATAACTTAGAAAAAACATAGGTAACATATTTTTTGACGACAGCGTTTATTACAGTTAAATTAGGGTCGAATACTGGTAATCTAACGATTTTTTTCCGCAGTAGACAATTCTTTTCTATACTACAAAAATACTACTTTTTTATACACCTACTACAACAACAAGAAACTTATAACACATCAAAAACTTTAGCTCCAATATCTCAGAAAGCAGTTTTAATAGAAGCGGCCTCTTTGCATCTAACTCCTCAATTATTGAAGATAAATCAAAGACAAGTTGATTTTTCTATGTATTTTTTTAATATTTTAAACAAACACTTTTTTGCTAATATTTACATTCGTAAGTTATTTTATTCTGGGGTCCCACATACGTATACAAGTACTAGGTGGCTGTGTGAAAATTACGTTAGCATTCCTTAGTGGTGGTCAAACCCCAGGAAGGTTTTGCTCCCTCGCATCGCTATGTTTTCTACACAGGGTTAAAGTTCCCTCTTTATGGTAAACATTAGTATTATTTTTCATTACATTCGGTTCTCCTTAGAAAAATTTGGCGCTTCATATTTTAGTGGAAGTTTTAACCATCTATAAGCCATTTTTTTCAACAGTGGGTCAAAAAGTCCCATTCTGGTTCGAGTTGATAAGACCATTGCAAAAATTTATTGAGAGCGACATAAACTACCCCAATAACTAAACTTTAAACAATTTTTTTTTTCTTTAAATTTAAATAGTACATACGGATCTGTAGAGAATATAGAGATCCGTGTGTGTATGTATGTATATACCTCAGACCTTCTTCTGTTCGCCCATCAATCAGCGCCAGACACTCAACATTTTAATTCAAGTAGGAAGTAACAATATTTAAATTTAAAACTAATTCAATAATGAAATAAATAGAATTATAATAATAGAATAATTGGCATGGCGAATGCCTAACGCTGACGAGTTGAAATGATAAGATTTGTAGCCTCATGGCTCTTTGAAATCTACCTTATGAGAAGTAGCGCCGGCGTTTCCAGACGCGCCGGCGTCGCCGCCGCCGCCGAATATTTTTGACGTTGACCACGCCGCCGCCGCAAAGCCTGTCGGCGTAAACCTCTAGTGTACATACATACATATATGTTTGTCAAATTTTATGTTTGTTTTTTGTTGATTGAAAATACTGATTTATCGCCTTAATAAATATGTAAATGAATTACAATGAATTGTACTTTTTTTTGTTATATCAATCTGATTTAAAATACTATAATAGGATGATCACGGATGTGTTGCACTTTTGCCTGAATTTCGGGACAATCCCGGGATCCCGGGATTGTATTTTCAGATCCCGAAAATCCCGGGATCGACAAAACCCCGAAAATTGACATCCCTAACATACACACATGCATTCATCGCGCTCACGATAACGTGAACTAATTAAAAATAAACCCACTTCATGCCTGCTGAGCGCAGCACGGAAACGCAGCCGGATTGGCAGGTCGATCGCGGGAATCTCCGCATTAGGGGTCTCAGTGTAGAGATTTGGCAAGTTGTGAACCAGTATAGGCGGAAAAAGTAGGAAGAGCACCTGAAGACTTGCAAATTCGCCTCTGATGGGAGCAATCTTTGGTCAATCGTAGGGCGATGGCGCCTCCCCTGACCCGCAGTCATGCGCGAGCTATTTTAGCCGACAAGTCACTCTGCATCCTCCGTTAGACAAAGCCAAGCGCCAAAGCCCTGTGCTGTTGTTTTTCACCAGCGGTGATGTCCAGGAGGATGGTTGCATGATAGAAGTCCACGTAAGTGGGCAAAGCTTTTGGCTACCATTCACCAGGGAGTGTCCAAAAGTGATTCATTTGTGTACGGTTCAAATCGCAGCTCGTTACGTCCAGATATATATATCTACGTATCCTCTGGGTAGCGACCAAATCCGATTGCGCCGGGTTTGGGTACCGCCACGTATAAGTCCCGCCCCTTCTTTTGATGATCACGGCACAAGCATAAAGGACTATGATTTTAGGGTATGCACCTGTAATATCCGGACCCTTAATGGGGAAGGTGTCTCTGACCGGCTGGTTGATGTCCTCGGAAAGACAAATGCCTGCTGCGGTTTAGCCGTGCGCACCGAGCTGCACTTTTTGAAGTAATGCGTTTTTTGCTAATGCATAAAATAATTTTTTAATTTTTTGTCAGTAAGAAGCTTGAGAGGTTTATTTTTCTTAAGAGTTGCTACCTGTTAAAAAATTAGATTCAAAGTTTTTAATAAGTTTAATGAATTATTCAGAGATGGGTATCAATCGAAATGTGCATGAAAAGGGTTTATTTCTTAACTACATGTATATGGTTGCCACCTGTTTAAAAAATCAAATTCCATGTATGGGATCGATATAGCGAACTGAAGAGGGAAGCGAAACGTATTTGCCACAATAAGTAGAGAGAGGCCGAAATACATGGGTGCGAAGAGCTTCAAATGCTGGCCGACAGGAAAAAGGCCCGAAAATTTTACCAGAGAGTTAGGCGACTTACGGAAGCCTCCAAGATCTGGGCGAACTCCTTTAAGAATAACGACGGAGACCTAGTGACCGATCTCTAGAACGTATCTAAATTATGAAGGGCACACTTGTCCACCCTTTTAAATGGAAGAAGCATTGTAAGTAGTGGAGAAGGCGATAACAATGGAGTCGAAGTCCCACTGCCTGACTATGATGAGGTACCAGTAGCAATTACGTGGCTGAAAAACAACACAGCTGCTGGAGATTACGGCTTGCCAGCCGAGCCATTATAGTAAAGCGGCGAAGAGCTGATAAGGTGCATGCAACTCT